ACCAATACAAGGAAGACTTACCAAAGAACAACAAATATATGAATATTGCACTAGGTAGACTAATGAAGTAAAGGGTGAAGAATAAGTAATGTGATATTACTTTTTAATAATTATGGTGCATTATGTTTGATATAATAACACTTTTTTTGGTAGGTATGTCATTGAGATGTACGATTACTACTTAACTAGGGCCGAATGCCAAAGTCTTGGTCCTAAAAATAGATAAGTACAGCGGTATGTTTGATAGTTTTAATTAATTAGTTGCTTAATTGGATAGCACATTGAGTATTGGATGTGGTCTTTGTAGGTCATGAGCATGGTCGTAAAAGTAATGGTTGGCGAGCAACTTCGTGAAGGGAAGGTGCGGAGGTACATATTTGATTTAGAATTTATGGCCAACTTAAGGGATAAAAAGTTAAGATGGTCTATTTTTGAGGATGCAAAGATGCTCATGCTCAATAAATTTAGATATAACCTTAGAAACTGTGATTACCTCTTCTTGCCTATGCTTGTGTTCAATCATTGGTTTTGTTATTGTGCTAATGTGAAAAATGACAAAATTTTCATCCTTGATTCATTGGCTGGGAAGTTATTTAAAGAGAAGAAGATGATGGCTGGATTTATGGTATGCTTTATTAGTGCTTTTGCATAACTACTTTTGGTTACTTAAATTTTTAAATGGGAATGGTTATCTAATATTGGAACTATTTGTAGAGAACTCGCATAATTGAGTTGTTACAAGCATGTAACCCAGAGAAATATAGAGAGGATTTTCAGATGGAGATGATATTTGAAGAACTTCCCAAATAGAGTAACGTGTAAGTAACTATCTATGGAAACAACTACCTTTTTATGTATTCATTTCAAGTAGACATTTTGCCTTACCTTAATTGCTCATATTTGTAAAGATGATTATGGGGTATATGTGATAAAGTACTGTGTACAATGGGATGGTAGAAGAAGAAAAGGAGGACTGACAATAGAGGACTTTTCAAACATATTTCTAATTTTTTTCTTCCAGTTATTGATGTGAAACTTAAACTTTCTTTATGTTTTTTGTAGGAACAACTGAAACAGTTTAGGGTGGATGGTAAATCACACAAGAAATGAAGTGATAAATGAAGTTTTTGCCTCTATCTCAGCAGCTAATCCATAAAAAAGAGCAGGAAAGATGTCTAGATGAATTCTTAATCTGTGACTTGCTTTCATCATTAATCTTTGATGGGTGTGATGCATTTGCCTCACTATAGATCCTGCTCCTCATCAACGTTCACCATTCTGATGTTGAAGAAATTGCCTCTTCTTTAATTTTTTCCCTTAAGAGTGTCTTAGCTGAAAGTGAACTATGTAGTTTGTACAAGTGAGGAATTTGAAGCTGTATCCAAATTTTAAGGCTTATAAGAATATTTTTGGCTGCAAAATTAAGCTAGCCTTTGTGAGATATGCTTGATTAATTTTGTATTCAAAACATGTTATGTGACCAAAACTTGGTCACATGCATGCATTTTAGCTAACTAAATTATGATTTTGTCTGAACAAGATTGACAACATCTCCATTTAGATTTTATATAGCAGATACCAATTTTCAACAAATTAAAATAACTTGTATTTCCTGCCAATTGATATAGCTGGGTTGCTACTTATATTACTTTAATCATATGGTAATCCAATTCAATATAACAAATGAGACATGGAATTTTCTAATTTCATTATGATTTTAGGACAAGTGAAGCGATATAAAACACTCTTTGTGACTATCAAGCAAGCTGAATAAGTAACCAAATCAATTATATATTGCTAATGTCGCAACTGTTTGTCAAAATTCTAGGTGGGTTAAGTATTGAATTCTTAAGTTATTATTCTAGGACAAAGCTCTAGTAATTTGCAACTAAGACACCAAATTTTGCAACTTCCTTAGGAACAATTTGCAACTCGTACACCAAATTTTGGATGGAAGAACTACTAAATTCCTTTAAGAGTTAAATCTTTGAGGATAATGTTTCAGTATTTTGCAACTGAGACACCAAATTTTGCAACTCCTTTAGGAAAAATTTACAACTTGTATACCAACTTTTGGATCAAAGAACTATTAAATTCTTATAAGAGTTAAATCTTTTAAGACAACATTTTAGTATTTTGCAATTGAGACACCAAATTTTGTAACTCCCTTAGGAAAAATTTGCAACTCGTACATCAAATTTTGGATTAAAGAACTATTAAATTCTTACAAAAGTTAAATCTTTTAGGACAATATTCTAGTTTTTTGTAACTGAGACACCAAATTTTGCAACTCCCTTAGGAAAACTTTGTAACTCTTATACCAAATTTTAGATGGAAGAACTATTAAATTCTTACAAGAGTTAAATCTTTTAGGACAATGCTTCAGTAATTTGCAACTGAGACACTAAATTTTGCAACTTCCTTAGGAAAAATTTGCAACTCGTACACCAAATTTTGGATGAAAGAACTACTAAATTTCACAAGAGTTAAATCTTTGAGGACAATGTTTTAGTATTTTGCAACTGAGACACCAAATTTTGCAACTCCCTTAGGAAAAATTTGCATCTCGTACACCAAATTTTGGATCAAAGAACTATTAAATTCTTATAAGAGTTAAATTTTTTAGGACAACGTTCTAGTATTTTGCAGTTGAGATACCAAAATTTACAACTCTCTTAGGAAAAATTTGCAACTCGTATACCAAATTTTTGATTGAAGAACTATTAAATTCTTACAAGAGTTAAATCTTTTAGGACAATGTTCCAATATTTTACAACTAAGACACCAAATTTTGCAACTCCCTTAGGAAAAATTTGTAACTCGTACACCAAATTTTGGATGAAAGAACTATTAAATTTGTGTAAGAGTTAAATCTTTTAGGACAATGCTCCGGTAATTTGCAACTGAGACACCAAATTTTGCAACTTCCTTAGGAAAAGTTTGTAACTCGTACACCAAATTTTGGATGGAAGAACTACTAAATTCCTATAAGAGTTAAATATTAGAGGACAATGGTCCAGTATTTAGCAACTGAGACACCAAATTTTACAACTCCCTTAGGAAAAATTTGCAACTCGTACATCAAATTTGGATCGAAGAACTATTAAATTCTTACAAGAGTTAAATATTTTAGGATAATGCTCCAGTATTTTGCGATTGAGACACCAAATTTTGCAATTTTCTTAGGAAAACTTTGCAACTCGTACACCAAATTTTGGATGGAAGAACTACTAAATTTCTACAAGAGTTAAATCTTTTAGGATAATGGTCCAGTATTTTGCAATTGAGACACCAAATTTTGCAACTTCCTTAGCAAAACTTTGCAACTCGTATACCAAATTTTGGATCGAAGAATTATTAAATTCTTATAAGAGTTATTCTTTTAGGATAATGCTCCAGTATTTTGCAACTGAGACACCCAATTTTGCAACTTCTTTAGAAACAATTTGCAACTCGTACACTAAACTTTGCATCAAAGAACTATTAAATTCTTACAAGAGTTAAATCTTTTAGGACATTATTCCAGTATTTTGCAACTGAGACACCAAATTTTGCAACTTCCTTAGGAAAACTTTGCAACTCGTATACGAAATTTTGGATTGGAGAATTATTAAATTCTTACAAGAGTTATTCCTTTAGGACAATGTTCCAGTATTTTGCAACTTAGACACCAAATTTTGCAACTTCCTTAGAAAAAATTTACAACTCATACACACAATTTTGGATCAAAGAACTATTAAATTCTTACAAGAGTTAAATCTTTTAAGATATCGTTTAGTATTTTGCAACTGAGACACCAAATTTTGCAACTTCCTTATGAAAAATTTATAATTCGTACTCAAAATTTTGGATCGACAAACTATTTAATTCTTGAACTTGCAAACTTCCAAATTAATTTTTGACATGGCTTCAGTAATTTACAACTGACATACCAAATTTTACAACTTCCTCACAAATAATTTCATACCTTTATTCGAAATTTTAAGACGACACACTTTTAGTGATCATAAAAGATATGAACTATACACATAAGAAACATGTATTAATTCATCTAATGCATCTGCACATATCAGCTGTCCACATACATAAAAGCATGAATTTAGATTTACAAATAAAGGGTTGCTATGTACCAAAAAAAACTCCTAATACTACCAATATATATCTACATAAACCTATATATGTCAACCAAATCCAAGTTGATCTAATCTCATGTTATAGAAACATCAACTTGGATTTACAGAAAAGGGGTTGCTATATGCCAAAAAAAACCTCTAAAACGACCCATATGTGTATTTTACCCAAATCCAAGTTCATGTGGTAACCCATTTATAGTAACATCAACTTGGATTTGGATTTCTACACCTCTTCCACATATGACCTGCTTAATGGCAGTGAGAACAATGATAAACCTTCTTTTGTTGATGTTGAAACTCGATCCTCACACGACGAGGTTTGCCAGCTGGTCGAGTCATTTTAGGAGGCAGTAAAAAGGTTTAGTTCATAAGCTCAGACACTGTCAATGCATTTGGCTTTAGCATGTCATGGGTCTCAACAGGATGCATAGTATCACTGTATATTTTCTCTTGTGAGCTATGAAGACAACATTCCTCGACATAGTTATACACATTACCATGCATTTCTTTAATGGCTGCACAAGCATGTGGGCAAGGAATGCCAAACATTTGCCAAACTTTACATGTGCATTTCCTTAGTATCATATTCACACATACATCTCCACATGGTGTCCGAGCCAATACAATATGTGAGCCATGCAGCTGAACTATCATAACTTCTGCCCTGAAAATATTTTCCTTCAACTTTGCTTCAACATTGGGACCAACTATGCATTTCTACTTACTCATGGCTGCTTTACTTGTAAAAAATTTCTTGCTCAACTTATCCCTATGCTCATTTATAAGAACACATATATTATGCCTCCTCTCCTCAATAATCCATGCATTGAATGATTCGGACAAGTTGGTTGTTATCTTATCCCATCTTTAAAATGGGAACAATGATAGTGCCCAGCGATCAACATCACCTTGATTTTCAACCCATCTTGCTAATTGTGGAGAGAACATCCTCAAATTTCCTATAGCTATACAAAATTCATGCTCATGCCTTGCATAGGCAATGTGATCAAGCAATTTTAGTACCTCTTCCTTGTTGTTCCTTCCCATTCCCCTATAAACTTTTTTAAACTTAGAGCTAAAATTCTCCTTGACATGTCGATAGCAAAATACATGTCTATCGCCACCAAATATGGCTCTAACAACACCAATAATAGCATTATTTCTATCAGAAACAATAGTTACCTGCAGCGAACCAAGGATATCTTTAATATTTTGTAGAAACCAAGTCCAATCATTATGAGTTTCACTCCCAACTATTGCAAAAGCTAATGAAAACAACTCATTATCGGCATTGTATATTGAAGTTGCCAGTAAGGTGCCTCGATAAGGACCACTGAGGAAACATTCATCCACATATAAAATAGGCCTAACCCCAAGCAAGAATCCTTTAATGGAACAACTATATGCAATAAATAAACATTCAAATCTCTTATTATTAGAAGCCACCCATTTTGCTACAGTATCAACATCAGTCTCTATTAGTCTATTACACAACTGAGGAACAAGCATATATGATTGGTCAGGAAGCCCGTTTATTTCCACCAATGCCCTCTCTTTCGCTCTTAAAGCTTGACGACAAGTTAGACTTATGCTATAGTCTTTATATATGTCAGCTTTTATTTCATTGGGTTTTTTTTCCACATTAGACCTTACTACGTCATCAATTATAGACGAAGTCAGTGTGTACCTTGTACTGAAGAAACTTCAAGGTCTTCTTGGGCAAAATGTAAGTGCTCATTCTTGAAAGTTGTTACATAAAGTAAGGGCATTAACTTCCTTAATGAATATGCTGTTATCTTCCATTGACATCTTTTTGCCTTGTAAACTAAAATTATTTTATTTGTGTTGTTCTTCATAAATTTATATTCAAACCTGTGTGCAATACTATACTTGTAGATTGCTTGTCTACAATCATCAGCACTCACAAAAATTTGCCTAAGTCCTACTAGTAAATCCTTCCACTTTGTTGCATTTAGCTCAGGAATTGGTGTTGGGATACTTTGTATTGCACATGGTAGAACTTCAAGATCTTGTGTAACATGTGAATTCTCAGCTGAATATCTTGCTCTACATTTCCATTCAAATCATGTTTATTACTATCATTCATGCTCATATTAACATAATGTTAATCATGCAACTATTAAAAAAACTTACCCATCAATTAAATCTCTTATTGCCTCTATACTTTGTTGTATCTTCCCTATGATGTAGACATGAGCAAAAGTATCATTCAATTTCATTAATTAATTTATCCCTTCATCATCTTTAAGGTCTAAAAGAGCATTGCAATCAAACTTTACTGTGTACTTCAACTCTATTCCATTTAAATCGCAATTCAAGCATGATGAAATCAATCTAACAAGTCCTTCAAGAGACATTCCTTCTCTAATCATTCTTCATTACAACTCCCCCATCATAATGCATTGTCCCATGTATATCTTTTACAATATCTCCTCCAAAATGAAAATAACAAAAAATTTTCTTTAAACAACTACTTTCCATCGTATCCAATAATATCGATCTACAATAAACAAAATAAAATATAATAATATATCACTTAGAAATAAGTTACTTTTGACATAAGTGATTTTTGCATCAGTGAAACAGTGACAGCGTTCCATATTAAAATATGGACACTCAATGATAATTTCTTACACTTTCAGTTGCAAAATGTCGAATCTTCGTGCCAAATCTTTAAAAACATGAAATAAAAAAAATCTTTCATGTCAGTTGCAAAAAGCTGTTTCATCTTTTTCCTTACGAGATCCATTTTGCAAGAAATCAAACCTTCATGGAGTAAACTTTTTTGTTCAGAAGCAGGGATTTGCAAAAAAAAAAAAAACCTGTCTAAAGGCACCAGTACAACTCCTTAAGCTTCCTTGAGTCAATAATTAAGGCAACTCCACCTCTTTCAAGCACAATTCTATTTTAGGAATGGGAATTTTTTCAACGTGCAGCTCTACCACTTACATGTAACTCTCATTAATGGCAGGAAAGAGACAAATCGGGAGGGAAATGTTGGAGCTGATTAGTGTACATGTTATATTTAATCATAGGGGCATTTTCATCATTTCTTTTGTAACTCTGATTTGTGAAAAAACAGCATGGGACTTGATTGGCCTTTTACAATTACATGGAATTTAGCTGGTATAAGATTAGTCCTTTGAGACTTGATTGTCATTTTCCTAACTCTTATTTCTGGCACTATACCTTATCAACACCCTTACTTAAAACAACTTAAAATCAGGCTAGGCTTATGATAGGCTTAGGCCAAGGCCTAAAAAAATTTTGATTCTTGACTCAAGCTGAATTCCCCTATTACAAGCACAGATATTTGCCCATTGTTGACTTGACTTGTTCATTTTTCATACCTAATCAAAATTGAACCTTGGTGCTCGTGGGATGAAAATTTGAAAAACAAGTTACCTTGAAGAGTACTTCCGATAACTGCTTGAGAAAATTCCATTATTGGACCTCGTAAGATGTGACCCAAAAGAGAAAAGTCTAACATCAACAACCTCGAATCTTCCCATCAATATTTCAACAAATACCTTATGTCGTTTAAATAGAGTAGACAAAAATTTTTTTCTTGAAATACATGATGGGTTTAGAAATTTTCGGAGGGTGGAGCCTTTCATATGGAAAAGATGTTCTGAAAAAGAGTTTATATTTAAAAGAAAATGTTTAAATAAAAATTCAAATATCCTACCACCATCATGCATCCATTTATTCTTATTTATAAATTATTTTCAACAAGTTTTGTTGAAATCAATAAAATCTTGAAAATTCATATCTTCTTTGAAAATTTAATAGACTTCCAATTTTGTTTATATTAAATATACATATTTTAATAATGAAAAAAATTTCTTGTATGAGCATGGCACATCATGCCATCTATACTAATCTATCTAATAAAAACAAGACATATGGCATCAGTTTAATTAAGTAAAATCTTATGTATCATCGTATGACATGTCATGTTTTTATTTAATAGAGTATGGATGACATACATGATGCACCAGACCCATTCAAAAATTTCTTGTTAACAACGTGCTTATTCTCACAAACATTTAATGATGTAAAGGAGGCAATTTACCATAAAAACTCAATTAACATGCTTTATGAATATGAAAAAGGATAATTTGGATCTATAGACTTTAATTTATACGCTTTATACTAATTGGCCAAAAAGAAATAAACGTGTTACTATTACCACCCTTGACTCGTTGAAAATAATACGATATTATAACCATTTTTTTATATATAATACTAGCAACTTTTTTTTTCTTTTTCTTTTTTTTTTTGTTGCTGTTTGCTGTTGGACCTGTTTTGCGTTTTTAGATTGTCTTTCAATGCTTTTCAGTTACCACTAAAAAAAAAAAAAATTACTAGCAACCTTTTATGATATGATTTTTTTTTTTTAATCGAAAGCTTTTATAACATGATTCTGAACATCAAATAATTGAGTTTTAAAAGGTAAGAATCTTTGATAAAACTATCTGGTCACAAACACGGTGAATGCTAGGAAAGCGAAAGAAGTGACACAATGTCAAAATTGGCAACTCAAGAGTAGACAAGTCCAACATTGACTGGGTCACTCGGCCTTTATATCTCTGGGGATATGTGAACCATGAAAAAAAAAGAAAAAGTCTCACTTAAAAATATCATTCGTTCATTCCACGGGCATCGATCTCGAATCTCATAACACAAAAAATGAGAAGATTCTGAAGCCTTACAAATTTGTTCTTTGTTATGATCATACAGATTTTATGATCATAAACATGGATCATCATCAGCTAACTCTATTGTTTTTGTTTTTATCAACATTTCACCTATCTATATCAGGTAAATCATAAATGAAAAATCATGTCTAAAATTTTTTTGGGTTGTGGGGGGGAGGGATTGTGTTTTAATTAGTTTGGTCGATTAATTGTTTAACACTAATTTGGTCTGATGTATCTTGAGATTTTGCATGCAGGAGTATCTTCAACAAAATTCACAATAGTTAACAACTGCAACTACACAGTATGGCCGGCCATTGTTTCACATGGCGGTGGTTCTGATCTTTACCCCACTGGTTTCATTCTTCATAAGGGTGAGTCTAGGACCATCTCTGCGCCCACTTTGTGGAGTGGCAGCTTCTGGGGCCGAACACAATGCTCGCAAAACTCCACTGGATCCTTCAACTGCGTCACCGGTGATTGTGGCTCGGGGAAGCTGGAATGCGAAGGCAAGAACGGCACACAGCCTGTGACGACGGTAGAGTTCAGTTTAGGCCAAGCCGGAGAGCTTGATACGTATTATGTGAGCTTAAAAGACGGATACAACTTGCCTATGATGGTTATTCCTCAAGTCAGAAACTGCATGAGCACAGGATGTCTGGAAGATTTAAACATTACGTGCCCTGTAGAGCTCAGGCGAGCGAAAGCAATTAGTGGACAAGTGCTGGGATGCGATAATGCTTGCAAGGTAATTAATCCACCACAGCACTGTTCTATGTCATCCCCTTACTCAAAGATATTCGAGAGTGCTTGCCCACATGCTCAAATTTATGCGAATAATGACAAGGGAAGAACATTGGCATGTCTGGCATCAACTTATAGCATCAGCTTTTGTCGTCCATCCCCCGACCCAGACAAGAGATATCTGATATGGATCATTTTCGTTACTGTAATTATAGGAGCTATCATTATTAATGGCACTTTTGCATACTTCTTCCGAAAATGGATAGCAAAACAGTCAGGTGCAATTCCCTTTAATCTCTTCTCAACAATTTCAAATGCAGTCGTATGGTAGAATTTTGTTCAGTAGTTCGTGTTTTAGCATTTCACATGGAGCACTTTATATCTTTGTCTTCATAATTTTGAATACGTACGTTACATTGTTATTGTCAAATGTGATCTAATTATGATTGATTTATGCATGATTTTCAATTTTCTTCTCTTATCTAGGTTGCTAAACCCTTGTATGATAAATACATAAACATGGCACAATTTATCACTTGTTTCTTTAATTTTTCTTAGTGTACGTGCCTTTCTGCAGTATTCTTTTCCTGAGTGTGTTTATTCTTTCCTGGTATCTGAGTGAGATTATTCAAGATTTGATAGTTTGTCCGAGCTAGAGATTTGGCGAGATCTTTGTTTAGCAATGCTCTAGCCCTTCCCCCTTTTGCTTTTAATATTTTGATCTGTTCCTCTTGATATGACTATTTCACGTAGTAATTCACTTCTTTGACGATAATTTCAATTTTGTTTTCTCTTAGTGATTCATTTATATGAAATCACTCATGAGTTTCTTACTTAGTGATTCAACCTCTATGAATTACTTCAAGTTTCTTACTTAGTGATTCATTTGTCGAGAATCACTCTTGAATTTTTGCTTAGTGATTCATTTTTAGAATCACTTTTAAGTCTATTATAGTTAGTGATTCATTTCTCCATGAATCACTCATGAATTCATCACCCAATGAAAATTACTCTCAAGTTTTTCACTTAGAGATTCATTCCTTTAAGAATCATCATGAGTTTTCTTCTTAGTGATTCATCCATAAGAATCACTCCTAAGTTTTTTGCTAACATCACCTTTGAAAATTGTTAGCTTTTGTTTAGTGTTGCTTTGTGATTCATGCATATGGAATTCACTTCATTCAAAGGGTTGATGTTTATTCTTGCTATGGTTGTCACTGCCAACCAATTAATGTATTTTTTAGCTCAAGAAATATAAGTTGGTACAAATTCAAAGGATCTTGAGTTTGAGGGGCAATGTAATGCAATTTGATTATGATTTCCAATTGACCGTAATTGTTTAATTATTCCGTTTAGGTTGACCAATCACATTTATTGTAATTATTGTATAGATTTATTTGGTGTTTATTAGGATATCTCATTTTATTCTATATAAACTCTTATAAAGTAAAATGAATGAACATGCCCAATTTACCGCATTCCTTGTTTCTTTCTATCTTCTTTGCGCCTTTCTGAATTATTCTTTCTCTGAGTACACTTATTTCTGATATGTGAATTAGCGAGAATATGGACGACCATATGCTTCTTGTTATTAAAATGGCTTGGAGTGTATGTAGAAAAGAAAAGTGACACTATTGGAGATTTTTCACAAGTTAAATTCCCGGAGTTGAATGTTTATGATTTCAAGAAGGTTGCAATTGCAACAAACAACTTTCACTTGTCCAATAAACTTGGACAAGGTGGTTTTGGTCCAGTGTATAAGGTATGCTCATTCATGAAATCTTAATTAATTTTGAATTCACTGTGTATAACTATTGTTTCATGGAAATTTCTTTAAGGGAACACTACAAGATGGCCAAGACATAGCAGTGAAAAGACTATCTAGAGCATCTGGACAGGGACGAGAAGAATTTATGAATGAGATGGTTGTCATTTCCAAGCTTCAACATCGTAATCTTGTAAAACTTTTAGGTTGTTGTGTTGATGGAGAAGAAAAGATGTTGATCTATGAATATATGCCAAATAAAAGTTTGGATGTATTCATCTTTGGTTAGCTCTTATGACCCCCTCTTTTATAGTTTTTCCTAGCTGAATGCATTAAGTTTTGGAGCTTCTTTACGCTATTGTCAAACTATTACATATATAACCCTCCCTTTTGTCATTGTAGATCCATCAAATCGTCATCAGCTTGATTGGGAGAAGCGTTTTCTCATAATTGAAGGACTAGCTCGTGGAATACTTTACCTTCATAGGGATTCTAGACTAAAAATTATACATAGGGATCTAAAGGCAAGTAATATCTTGCTCAATGAGAACCTAATTCCAAAAATATCAGATTTTGGTATGGCTAGAATTTTTAAAGAAAATGAAGATCATGCTAATACAAAAAGAGTTGTTGGAACCTAATAAGTTTTCCTTCTCTATCGAACATTAGCATATTGAGAAGTTAATGGGATCTAACAATATTAATTAATTGTTTCATAATCAATTATGCAGCGGTTATATGTCTCCAGAATATGCAATGGAAGGATTATTTTCAGAGAAATTAGATGTATTTAGTTTTGGAGTATTGCTTCTAGAGATTATTAGTGGAAGAAGAAACTCTAGCTTTTATAACAGTGAGCATTTGAGCCTTTTAGGACTTGTAAGTCTCTACTATTCATTGACTTCCAAGTTACCTAATTGCATTTTATTTTTATTGCCAACTCAATTCCTGATTAGCTAATAATTATGATTTTTTGTTAATGTTATTAGGCTTGGAAATTATGGAATGAAAAGAACACTGCATTGTTAATTGATCCTGAAATATCTAATCCAAGCCTAGAGAATGATATGTTGCGGTGCATACAGATTGGGCTTTTATGTGTACAAGACCTTGCAAGTGAGAGGCCAAGCATGAGCATCGTAATTTCTATGCTGAATAGTGATATTGTTAATCTACTTCCTCCAAGGAAACCTGCATTCATCCAATGGCAGAGTAAAGCGAATGATGTGCCTATAGAAGAAAATGAAATATTATCCAACAATGGACTCAGTGTTAGTGAGATACATGGCAGATAGATAGCTTCATCACACATCTATCACTAAAAGTATAGAGTTTCAAGGTTATTCATGATTGTGTATGAAGTAACTAGAACTGTAGTTCAATAAATAGTTTTTGTCTTTCACGAGTGTCCTCTAGGCTTTTGTTTTTTGATTATTGATTTTGGATAAGGATTTGATATGAAATCATGCATTCATGCTATATATGGTTTTGTCCAACACTTCTCTCTAACATGGAGTAAATGTTCTTTATGAATAAAAATATATAAATACAAATCATTTCCTTAAAGAAGTTGGGAGAAAGTGGGGTTAGGGACGTGAAAAAGGTGGGTATGTCAATTAGAATTAAAATAATGGATGAAAAATGTGTGACTCACGATAAAAAAGTTAGGGGCATGAGATTTTTTGATAAAATTACAAATTTAATTTACATAATTTATAAAAAAGATAGGTATGCAATTCAGTGAATAAATAGTTTTTATAATTTTAATCTAGATAGCATAACATTTTATATTCTGTTTAGTTCTCATTTGAGATAATATTGGTGTAATGATCTAAAAAAATTATTATTATTAAAATTAAAAATTTTGGTATGTAATTTTGGTGTGTAATTATTATTAAAAATTAGATGTTCTCATTAAACTTTAATATATCAGATTTTTTTTCATTCCTTTTAATTTTTGTTTGGCAATTTAATTTTTTCATAATTCTTTAATTATATTACTATTATTGTATAGACCTAAAATCTTAAGTAAAAATTTAAATTTTATAATGAGGGATTTTAAATGTTTTGGTTTGTTTTTATTTTGTTTTGGACTAAATATAGCAAGAAAAGCATACACACATAGTGAAAACTTTATTGTTTGATGCTCGGTTCGAATTAGGAAATTTATTTTCACTTCAGCCGATAGTAAAATTCTTAATTTGCCCTTAATATATATATATATATATATATAAATACAGAAACAATGAATGGGAAGCAGAGCTCAAAGAAAAATCCGCACCATCAGATTTTCTCTTCCCTCTGCATTTTGGAACCTCCGAGAGCTCGCGAAACTGCCTTCCTCTTCCTTCATCCTTTCGATCTCTGACCATTGAAGGTGCGGCTGGATTTTTTTCCTTTACTGGTGCGCTGCCATAGGAGCACTGCTGTGAGTTTCTCTTCCTTTGTGCTGTCGGTTTCCCTCTCCTCCTTCCCTTGTTCACTGTTGTCTTCTTCTTTCCTTCTTCGTTCCTAGTTGGCTGTTGGCATAGAGTTCAAGCTGCCATGAGTTTGATGTCACAAGGAGATCAATCAAGGTGCTGGTTTGTTAGGCTTACTCTTCCTTCCTCTCCCCTGTTTTACGTTGCCAACTTCTCGCTGATGCTAGCTGTGATTTAGTCAGTCAACCTTTCGTTCTTCTGTGCAGTTGGTTTTTCTTTCTTGTTGCTTTGGTTGCAACAGACCCTTCCTCGTTCAGCTTGCATGGCCAACCTTTTCTCCTTCTTACTCTTCCTCTGTTTTGTCGTCCTGAGGTGTGGTGGGAAATTTAGCTGAGACAGTAAGAGGGAGCTCATCCAGAAGCTTCAAACCAAATATTCCTCTTCCATTTCCAATTGCCAGTGTGGTGCGTGTGTCTATCGTAATATACATGCGTGAGGATCATCATCTTCTTCCTTCTCCTTGTTCGTCCGGCTAGCGTCTCTCTTCCCTGTTCTTTCTTTGCTCCTGTCGTTGCTGTTTGAGGTGACGAGTTACCATGCTTTCTCCTTCTTGTTTGTTCGTGTATGTGTGTATGTTTAAGATGTTGAAATTGCAATACCTCAGTTCATCAATACTGTGTACATTTAATGGCTGTGGTCATCGTTGTCTCATTTTTATTTACTGTGAGTGTTGAGGAGACGGGAATTGGGTTTTCGTTGAGATTGACATTAATTTTCTTATTTGATTTGTAAGGCGTTCCACACACATATGTGTGGAGAAGAGGCTGTTGAACCAAGCTAAAATTTAGTCCAACAAGCTATATTAAAATTTATATTGATTTTATTAAAGAAATGGAACTTGGAGAGTTGTTTTATGTTAGAGAATGTTTGGGAAGTAGAATTGAATAGGAATAAGCTTGGTAATAATTTGAGGTTTATTGCCTATAAGGTGTTTGACAAAATGATTAAGAGGAGTTCTTGTTATATAATGGCATCACACACACGCACACATGAAATGAGTATATTGTTGACTAAATAAACTATTATTAGAAGATAATTACTCTCTTTGATAGAAGTTGAGAAGTGAATGGTTCAATTACAAATATAAGAAAGCTTTTGGGAAGGAATTTGATGAGAAAAAGAACTTGCTTTTATGGTCTATACATTGAGCATAACAAAGGAATAGTCTGATCTAAAGTGGCAAGAAATATATATATATATATATATATATATGACAAGTATCGCATCATGGATTAAACAATCATGTAGGCATTTATTTTTTTGCAATGAAAGTTAAAGTAAAACTTAGAAGTTTGTGGAAGAGATATTTGAGTAGTAATTTAAGAACCAATTTGCTATTCATTTTTAAGATATCATTGGGATATTTTATGCAATGTTGAGAAAGATAAAAGTGAGGAGTTTCTTTCTTTTATTCTTCTATGTTGTTTTGGATTTAAAGATTTTGGATGGTAAAGTATAAGTAGGGAAGTGAAAATGATGTTATTTGAATATTAGGAATTTTAGGATAGAGCATTGGCCCTAGAGGACTAGTTTGGAAGTAAATTATACACTTAAAAACTTTACAGGTAAATGGATAGTGTCCCAACTAATTTATGATAAAGTTTTTTTTCCAAAAATATTTTTACTTGGATCATTTAATAACAATTATATTACATATTTCATACAGTTTTAATGAAATTATTTTTATCTTGGGAAATTATAAAGGGATGTGGGAGGATATTTGAATTATGACATGTATTTGTTTTTCCTTACAAAGGATACTTTCAAGATTGATGGAATTATTTTTACCAACTTCGGTAATTTTGGTTTCTTAATAAATGCAAGCATTGGCATCATTTATGAAGTTTTATTCTGACAAGTTTTTAATGTTCAAAATTCTTCGTACAAGTTTGATTTTGAGGATGGAAACTGCATTTTAATAATGATGATTTTCTCGCATATTTGAAAATGAATTTGGAGGGAATTTTATATAGAATACTAGTTGCTAATGGCAGTTCCGTTAGCCCTTGGCATGCCATGGTACACCTAGCTAGCAGGGTGCTTATAGGAGGTACTAGTCCCGTGCGATGGCTAACACACGTAGAACGGAGGAATGGTTATTCGTGAGTATTGTACTCACGTTTGTTTCATGGCTTCAAGCTACATTTGGTTAGCATTACCCTCGTGGATTGTGTGTCCACATTTGTTTCATGGTTTCGACTACATTTGGTTACTTATCCTCGTGGACTGTGTGTTCTCGTTTGTCTTTGTGACATAAGCCGCATTTGGTTATTTATCCTCGTAGACTGTGTGTCCACGTTTGTGAATTGTTCTAATAAATTCCCACAAATGTGAATTTTTAATTAATTGATGATTTCACACTCTAATGGTTTTTTTTAGCAAATGTTGTTATTTTATTTATGCATTTATTTAATTATTTTGAATTGTCAAGATCAAATGCTAAAGCTGTTTTATTATTATAGATTTTAAGTTTCATGATATTGAAGTTATATAGAACTTTTATTTCAAGCATATAAATTTGATTTCGTTGAATTGCTTTCTCTTTAATTTATGTATATGTTATATTTTATTCATTTTGAATCTACAAAATATTATGGTTGGGACGTTATTCATTGAAAAATATTTTTACTCTCAGATAGAATAGCTGACCCTGTATCTCCATTAGATCCTTAGAGGAATTTTGCTTCTGGACTTAAGTTGAGATGCCATTTTGGGCAATTTCTATTTTGATGTAAATTTATAATTTATATATTATATTTTTATACATAATATTTTAGGTGCTCCACATAGATTATAGTTAGAGTCTTGATTCTATATTATGCTGGTTGATTATTGTTAAGGAGCGGAGCTCCCTTTTGCTGAGTTGATGTTGTAAATTGTGAAATTTTTTTTTTGGGAGGTTCTATGTTTTTCGAAGAGGTTCTGTCAAAGTTTTTACAAAACAAAAAGTTTAAGAATCTTTTACGTAAAAAAAATATTACAATGATTTTCTATCCTATTTTAAATGAATTAAAATATTATATTAAAGTTTCTTTAATCAAGGTTTAAGGGATGTATGTTTGTGCATATATCTCGTGTCGGTCACGTCAAATTTTTTTCAGGACGTGACAATTAGGAAATACCATTGTTACAAATATAAAAATATATAGATGATATAGTAGGAGAGAGAAACCATAGGATATAGTTTATTAAAATAGTGAATCATGTACTTGATAGTCATAACAAGGGCTACTAACATGTGAGTATATGCATACTCGAATGAAACTAAACAATGCTCAATTCTTGAATATTTTGCATGGTATCAAAGTGGAGGTTCATAAACACCAACCATAGAGTGTAATTCAACTACAAGAATAGCCAACGACAATTAATGTTCAACAAAAACACAAGTTGGTAGTATGGATGTGATGTCACCATCTTGCATCCATGCATCCGATAATCAAGGACAGGTGGTACAGAAACTAAACAAAAAGAGAAATTCTGATTTTATTTCAAGACTGAACAATCACACAGTAAAGCTAATGGTCTTATTTATACTGCTAGAATGAGCAAAACAGATGAGCAAAAAGAAAGTTACAAACCTAAATGCTAGTTTTATTGGTTATAATTGTCTTTGGGATGTTTTTGGCTTAATGAAGGTGGCATGAATGGAAATGTGACACTACTACTTTCATTTTTGTTACTCATGCTTCCGTTTCATACTCCCCAGGTTTAGTAAAACTCATCCTAAAGTCAAATTCAACATCATGGTTAATGTAAGGAGATAGATCAGCAACATTAAGGGTGATAGACACTCTATAAGAACTAGGAAATTCCAGCTTATAAGCATTGTTGTTGATCTTTTGCACAATCCTGAAGGGACTATTAACTCTTGAGGATAGCTTGGTGTGTGGTTGTTTAGGAAAACGTTCCTTTCTCAAATGTATCCAAACTAAGTCTCCCACGTTAAAAGTTTGATATTTCTTATGCTTGTCATGTTGAG